TAGCTAGTTATTCTAATCACTGCACTGCTACCTTGCAGCTACATAATTAAAATATAAAGTGACAAAAAACCCCTGAAAAAATACTGCAAAAATATGCAACAATAGGTAGCAAAACATTAAAAAACAAAAGTCAAAGGTCTAGGCAAAGATATGCAATTTGAAAAAAGATGCTTTGATGTATCTCCAAGGCAGAACATTCTAAAGTCAAGGATTCACAACTACCTTGTATAACTGCTCACAATAATGGCACCACAAGTAGGGCTTCTTTCAAGGATTTTAAAGGTCAGATTAGTACATGCTAGTATAATATATTCTGGTACCAAAGCATTTTTGGCCTTCTAATTCAAAAATAAAATAATAAAATATGTTCAGAAGCAACCAAACAACCAGGAGGGATCATATAAAATAAGCATAATGTTTTCCAAGCTTTCTTGGATTGTCTGAAGGTTCTCTATTAACATCTGAAAAGCAATAGAGAGGAAAAGATGCAAAGTAATGGATTATTGTGTTATGCTGTCTTGTCTGGGAAGGGATGAAGTTGGTTTCTAATGACAAGCTGGATATAGTAATATTCTTTTAACTCCATCTGGAAAATGCAATCCCTTCAGTTTCCTAACTTTCTGTACTTGGGAATTGTCTACACCAGGGGTATCAAACTGCCGGCCCACGGGCCAGATGCGTCATGCTGAAACTGCTAGGGTTGCCAGGTGTCCACTATTTGAGTGGACAGTCCACTTTTTTCACATTATGTTCACTATTTTTTTTCACAAAATAGTGGACATTTTTTTTATTTAAAAGCTTTATGATGAAATAGTACGTAATCTAAAGCTGTACAGTCTACTTTTTTTACTACTTAACCCCCCCCCCGCTTGTCCGCTATTTTTTGGAAGCAGACCTGGCAACCCTAGAAACTGCGCCCACCCCAGCTCCGGCAATGGGGAAAAAGTCACAATACGTCACGACACGTCACATGATGTGGCGAGTTTGACACCTTTGACCTACACTGTTCTCATGTTGTCAAGATTAAGTTTCTGTTCACCGGATCTCATCCAGTTCATTTCCTTCTCCTGGTGTTATCTCACCTCGTTGAGATTTGAGAGATATAGTTGAGTGTCATCTGCATATTGTGGTCAGTGTGATCAAAAACAGCTGAGAGATATGGGGGGAGGAAATGACATGCTAAAGATAACATGTAGTCTTCGTATGACTTCTGTCCATGTAAATGCAGGCATTTCCTGTTACCATTCTATTCTTATTTAAGAGAGATAATGAAGTTCTTGTTTAATTTTCTGACTACTGTATCCGGTAAGCTATCCATGATACGGTATCAGAAGTCAGATTTTAAATCTGTGCCTTCCTAACATGAAAAAAGGAAATCCTTTCTCTTGCTATAAACACAGACATTAGATTGTTCTAAGAAAAATGCATTGCATGGTGGAAAATATCAGAATGCTATTGTGATTATTTTTTAAGACGAAAATGTAGCAGAGAAATGTTTCTTAAGCTATGTTTTATATACAGATATGCAGAGAGACGCATTCACAAACACAAACCCTGAGCATTGTCATTGATGATACTACTAATCTGTCCTGAAATTTATCTTTTTGAAAAGAGGATTTTTGGCAATCACTAGGGTCCAAACGAAATATCAAAAAAGGATGTATGTTGAATCAGCTATTAAGAGTTTCTTTTTAAATATCTTATTCCAGAGAGTGATAAAATATGCCATTGTAAGCAAGTTCATACAAACCATTAAGATTTATAAACTGTGTACTAAATACATGGAAAAATTAAGTACGGTAGATTACTTGTTTATTAATTCATTTAATTTATGTTGCCCGATTCCAAAATGACAGTCTGTGTAGCTCACAAAGGAATAAAATAAATGTGATAAGAAGAGACGTAAAACAAAAACTATAGTAGAAAACAAGAAAAGCAATAACTGGCAACAACTCAAACATCCCACAGCATCGAGTGGGAGACTCCAGCTACTCTATCCTAAGGCCTGGGAGAATAGCTAGGTCTTTATGGCACTCTGGAATGCCAGCAAGAAGGGAACCATCCTGATCTCAGAGAAAACCTCATTTTTTAGAGGGCAGGTATTGGAACAGGGGAGGCACACTTGCTCAGTTATTATGGATGATAATGTAACAACAACAACAACAACAACAATAATAATAATACAGTTGGAAGGGACCTTGCAGGTCTTTTAGTCCAACCCCCTGCTCAGGCAGGAAGCACTATATCATTTCAGACAAATGGTTGTCCAGTCTCTACTTAAAAATTTCCAGTGTTGGAGCACTCACAACTTCTGGAATTGTTTCACTGATTAATTGTTCTAACTGTCAGGAAATTTTTCCTTAGTTCCAGGTTGCTTCTCTCTGTGATCAGTCTCCAACCGTTGCTTCTGGTCCTGCCTTCAGGTGCTTTGGAGAATAGCTTGACTCCCTCTTCTTTGTGGCAGTTCCTGAGATATTGGAACACTGCTATCATGTCGCCCCTCATCTTTCTCTTCATTAAACTAGACATACCCAATTCTAGCAACCATTCCTTATATGTTTTATCCTCCAGTCTCCTAATCATCTTTGTTGCTCTTCTCTGTACTCTTTCTAGAGTTTCAATATCTTTTTTACATCATAGTGACCAAAACTGGATGCAGTATTCCAAGTGTGGCCTTACCAAGGCATTATAAAGTGGTATTAACACTTCATGTGATCTTGATTCTATCCCTTTGTTAATGCAACCTAGAACTGTGTTGGCTTTTTTGGCAACTGCAACACACTGCTGGCTCATATTTAAGTGATTATCCACTAGGACTCCAAGATCCCTCTCACAGTTACTACTATTGAGCAAGGTACCACTTACACTGTACCTGTGCATTTGGTTTTTCTTGCCTAAAAGTAGAACCTTACTTTTTTCACCATTGAATTTCATTTTGTTAGATACTCAATGTTCAAGTCTGTCAAGTTTCTTCTGTATCTTAAACCTATCTTCTGGAGTGTTAGCTATTCCTGCCAGCTTGGAGTCATCTGCAAATTTGATGAGTTCCCCATCTATCCCCTCATCCAAATCGTTGATGAAGATGTTGAAGAGCACTGGGCCCAGAACAGAGCCCTGGGGCACCCCACTACACACTTCCCTCCATGTAGATGCAGTTCCATTGAAGACCACACGTTGAGTACAGCTGGTCAGCCAGCTACGAATCCATCTGGTGGTGATGCTGTCTAACCCACATTTTTCTATCTTATCAAGCAGTAGGTTGCGGTCTACTTTATCAAATGCCTTACTGAAGTCCAAGTAAATTATATCCACAGCATCTGGTCCACTGTGGAGATAATTTACTTGGGCTTCAGTAAGGCATTTATGTTTGATCAAAGGAAACTAGAGTTGCACCAGTCCTCTTGACTAAAATTGGCCAGGTAGACATATGGGAGATGGGCGGTTCCTCAAATAACAGCGCTCTATTTCATGTGGGGCTTATAAAGTCATAATCAGCTTTTGAATGCACCTTGGCAACTTGTCCAGTTCTCAAAGCATTGGTGTCCTATGGTCATACTGAAGTATACCCAGGGCCCTGTGAAGTATATTGCAATAATTGAACCGTGAGGCATGGGTGGCTATCTGAAGAGCTTCCTGATCCAGAAAAGGACATAACTGATATATTTAGGTTACATCAGACTCCACCTTGATGGACTTTAATCCGTCCAATGACTTTTGGAGAAGGCCTGTTCATGTTCTTCCTGTGTCTAAAGTTACAGGGAAATGGAAAGACACTGAACTTCCCCCACATTTTGAAACTATTACTAATACTAATTTATTAAATTCATATAAATATTTATATTTAATAATAACATAATCAACACAATACCAAAAGATGGGGGGGTTGTTTGGAGTCCAGAGAAGAGCAACAAAGATGATTAGGGGAGTGGAGGCTAAACTGTACAATGAACGGTTGCAAGAATTGGGTATGAGAAAGAAAAGGACTAAGGCTGACGTAATGGCAGTCTTCCAGTATTTTATAGGCTATCAGAGGATGGGGTCAATCTATTCTCCAACGCACATGTGGGCAGAACAGGAAGTAACGAATGGGAGCTTAAGAAACAGATCCAAATCAGAATTAAAGAAAAATTTAGGTCAGCAAGAACAATTGATCAATGGAATATCTTTTCTTCAGAAGTTGTGGGTGCTCCATTACTGGAGTTTTGCCTGAAAATGGGGTGTCCTGCTTGATGAGAGGGTTGGACTGGAAGACTGCCAAGCTTCCTTCCAACTCTGTTATTCTGTGTTATATATATATGCTACCTGGCTTCTATTATTCTGGATATATTGTAAAGCACCCTTATTTGTGGCACTTAAAAGATCATTGCACACAGTTTTATTTCACCAAACCTTCAGTCCCTGTTAAATATTGGCATTCAGCTTGGGGGAGCATTTGTATATGATTGTTGTCTTTAAATATTTTAGTGTTTCACAGTCTGGCGAGATTATTCTTATTTGGGGGGACTATAAAAACTATACGAATAAATAAGTAAATATTTTGTCATTTTTAAAAAAACAAATGCAACCAAATCATAAGCGGTATGAGGCTTTATACCTTTGTCCCCCACTCAGTCCGAGTTTGCATCGTGGGCTAGGTACAGTATATGCGTATTCTATATTAGCCAGAGGTGATCTTTTTATTTATTTATTTATTTGATTGCTTTTTGGCAAAGCAAGAGGCAGATAGTTAGATTTAATATAGAAAATTGGTCTCTTGCCCTGCACACCCTTTATTGGTCTGAATCAAGCTCAAATGTTCTGTGGTTACTTTTGAGTAAAAAAAAAAAAAGTGGGAAACTAGCTATTAGCTACATTTAAAAAACAAACAAACAGATTTCCCTGCTTCTGGGACAAAGAAAAAAAATATTGCCCTCGCTTAGTTTTCCTAGCTTCTTTTTCAGACTAAAATTCACTAAGAAGGATCTATAAATTAAAACAGCTTATTCTGTATTTTTATAGACATGGGTAATTCATATAAATATGAAAAATGTAATATTTTAATAGCAAGCAGTTAGCATGTTAATGAATTTCGATAACATTAGAATATCCTCTCCAAGGGAGATGGGCGGTTAAGAAATATGAAGTCTAAATAATTTTTTTTTAAATACAAATATTATAAATTTTTATAGATATTAGAACATCATTGGAATACAAAGCCAAGGTCTTCACTGATAATATAAAAGTAGTCTTTGACTTATGATCATAATGGAGCCTGCCTATTACAGTCATAAGTTGTGATGGTTGTAAAGTGAGTCACTATATGATTGGACGCATTTTTACAACCTTTTTTAGAACCAGGTTGTAATTACTTTTTGGACGGGTTCTGTTGTAACTTTGACAGTCAAGGACTACCTTTATAAACTTTGAAGTCTTAAATCAGTGTTTCTCAACCTTGACAATTTTAAGGCATGTGGACTTCAACTCCCAGAATTCCACAGCCAGCAATGCTGGCTGTGGAATTCTGGGAGTTGAAGTCCACATGCCTTAAAATTGTCAAGGTTGAGAAACACTGTCTTAAATGATGAATTTTGGCTTCAGGTTTTTTGTTTTTTTTTTAAAAAAATGCTATAAAAATTAAACATTAATATAAATCACTACCTTGCTTCCTGTGGGGACTGTTTTGTTTTTGGGTTTTGTCTATTAAAAATACCTCAGACTATAAAACCTGCTACTCTTCCACAGTCAGTTCCTATAATTTTGGATCATATTTATGTCTTTTAGATTCAAGTCAGTCAGAAAGTCCCAGCCAGCCAAGCGAAGCTGATATTAAGGACCAGCCTGAAAATGGTGAGTTTTGCCGAGCTTATGTTATTGAGTCTGTATGTTTTTTAGGGAATTTCAACTACAGACCCCGCCCCCAGGAAGTGCCTTAGGTATATTAGGTATGCCCATTTTTCTTTCAAGTAAGGCAGGGGTGGGAAACCATGGCCCTTTTATGACTTGTGTACTTCAACTCCCAGAATTCATGAGCCAGCATAGCTGGTTCAAGAATTCTGGGAGTTGAAGTACGTACACAAGTCATAAAAGGGCCATGGTTCCTCACCTCTGAAGTAAGGCCTGAGTAGTTCTGAGCAGGCTGTTATTTGAAGCTGCAAACAAGGCGAGTGAGAAAGCACATCGATTTTGGCTACACTTTTGCCATTTTCTTTTTCGTTGAGAAAAGATGAAGAACTGAAAGGATAGTGGAAAAGATCAGAAGAATTTGGATTCAATTGAATTTGGATTCAAGGCAAGTTCTAAAGGACAGTATCATGGTTCCTTTGATTACTGTGATTCAAATAGGTAGTAATAGAGCTTGATAGAAGCATGGAAGTGAAGACTGCAAGGTGGTGCGGCACACAGGAAATCAGAGTATCCTATTGAGCAGACCTACTACCTCAGTTTTTAACGAGAGGCAGATTCAGCAGTGTTCATTCACCTTGTCTGTTGGAAGATAGACAATTTAGGGAGATTAGTACTTTCACCAGCATAAATCATTGAAGTACTCATCAGTGATACGTCTTATCAGCATTTGCAGGGGATGCTTCATGGTATTAAAGACACAAGAACATTTCTTAGTATTTGAACATCATGTATAAAAAACTGAAAGGAAAAATGTTGCCTTAAAATTCTCAAATTATTGCCAAAAGAACAAATAAATATGAAATTAAGGTCTTTAATACTTGGTCTTGAAATATAGCATACAGTTTCTTAGCTATAGTTCGCTTACTGTTATCAGATTAAATTCTTTCATTTTACTGATGTTGGAGTAGGTGAGAAACAGAATTAAAAGAAATACGAAATCCACCAACATTGTTAACAGTTATGATTTGGCAGTAAACGGTTGATAATACATGGCTTTAATAAAAAAAAATATACACATTTTTCAAAGAATTGGTTATATTTACATATAAACTTGAAAAAGGTATTCATTAGCCCAGCTGTTCTTCTGTGCTCGCTGATTTAATTGCCTATTAAAAAGGAGGTTTTTTCCCCTGAATATCTTCAATATTCAAATCAAACATCTTGATAATTTCAAAGCATGCCCTAACTCTGTCTTCAAAAATGAAAGGTACTTTGTTCTTCCTAATAGTAAAAAGTATCAAACAATTTCTTACACTTGTTCATGGAATCTTTTTGATAATTGCACTGAGTTTGTTAACTATAATTGACTATAAGTAGTCAATTATAGACTTATTTATTTATAAAGATAATGTTGGACATACTGGTTAAGTTGGTGATTCAAATGAATATTTGAAAAAAACAGAAGTATGATCAAGTGAAATCTAAGCGGGTCTAAATTGTAGCATGAAACGTATTTCAGTAAAATTTAAATTTGTGCTTCAGTGTCACTCTTGTATCAATATAATTGTACAATATGTTTAACTTTGGATACACGGCACTTTTCAAAGCAAGGTCTATGGACTTCAAATACATCGAACTTGGATCTAGTTTTGCAATAATAGAAAAGTGAAAAAAAATGACATTTCCATCCCTCAAATGCTAGACAGAAGAAATTGAGTAAGCAGCCTAGAAAAGGTGTAGTCAAAGAGAAAGAAAAGAGATGGAGAAACATACTATAAAGGGAATAACCCCCCTTTTTAATTTAAAGGAACAAAACTAGTCACCTCTTGAGTGGCTAATCTTTTCTAGAATAAGGCTTTTGTGTATCCTTTCTAGAATAATCATAAAGAGGTGTGAGTCTACAAGTTTTTCTTTTATCTCATTTTAGAAGGTCACCCAGACCCTAAAATGTTAATGTTAACTATTATTAGGGAAAAGAGGCCAACTCTTGAAACTGACTTGTTTTCACGAAGTATACTTAGAGTTATCCATTGAAATGCATGACTTTTTTTGGAAATACAGATTGGAGTCATGGAGATAGTTGCTTTGGTAGGGAAAAGTTAAAAAAATTCTTTGCCGATACAAGTTGTTCAGTTCAGGACAAATCTTCTTTTCCCATTAGTACATGACCCTTTGGTTTTTAAGAAATGAAGAGAAGATTCTGTGTTCTATGTTCTGTTTTAAGACTTGTACTTAACATTTAGAAGCAATATGAAAAAGTTATTAACAGAATAACAGAGTTGGAAAGATCCTTGAAGTTTAGCTAATCTAATCCCATACTCCAGAAGGATATCCTATACCATTCCAGACAACTGGCTGTCCAATCTTTTCTTGAAAACTCCAATGATGGAGCACCTATAACTTCTGGAGCAAGCTGTTCTACTGGTTAATTGTACTCACTGTAAGGAAATTTCTCCTTAGTTCAAGATTGATTTTCTCCTTGATTGTTTTCCATCCATTGCTTCCTGTCTTGCATTCAGGTGCTTTGGAGAATATGTTGACCCCCATCTTCTTTATGGCAACCCCTCAATTATTTTGCATATATTTCAATATTTACGTAATCTAAATATATAAATAAGTTACAGATTTGGATTATGTGGAAAGTCAGTAGTTTAGATCATCACTGACCATATAATTGCATTACTTTGATTGACATTAAAACTAGCCTATTGTAGTAATATAAGAATAAAACTGAGGATGGAATAAATAAAACCATTATCATTCGTTTGCCTTTGCTGAGAACCCAGGGTATCAGTAAAGAAGAAAACATGTAGAAAGGTTGCTAATTTAAGCAGTAATTTTAAAAGATGTTAACAGGTGTTGATATTAATCGTATTCTCATGAATGAAAGTGCATTATATATCACCCTTTTAAAATTACTTTACAAGTGGCAGCTATTAGCTTTTTGTCCAATATTTTTAGTTTTAGGAGATTTGTTTCCCAGGAGTGATCTTATGCCTGCTAAATTAATTCTGTATTTTTCACTAGATAAGGGAACATCTGATTAATAATAGTGCTAGTAGCAGGAACAATAATTTATTACATTTATATACCATCCAACTCCCAGCAACTCTGAACTTTATAGAAATCTAGTCTGGGGAAAAATTGGTAGGCACAAATGCTACTGCCAGTTGTTGCTTTGTCATGTATAGAATAACTGGAAAACTTCTTCGGACACAATTTCTGGTTGATTTCCAATCAAAATTACTCATTGTTTGAAAAAGTTAGAAACCTGAAAGATTAGATTGTAACCATTATTTTTATTATTGTATTGGACATTGGAAAAATACAGTAAGCCTCTTGTTTAAAACCCAGACTTATTCCAGTTAGCCATAGAAATCTGTTATCTTCAGTGAAACTTACATTCAGGAAAATGCTTAGACAATTTTTTTATAGCCTGGGGTTGAACACACTGATTCATAGTCTATTTAATCATGGCTTGGTTTGTTGATCTCATCACAACTGGACTGGGCTCATATATGAGATGATAAACCATGGTTTACAAACCACAAGAGTTCACTTAGGACTCTTAGCCAAGTCCAGATAAATCATATTAATCCCAAAGTCATGGGATATTTACTCTGTAGGCTTTCATCAGTAAAAGTAAAAATGATCAGTTGTAATTAGAATATGAATCAAAATTTGATTCCCACAACACTTCTCAGCAATTGAAATCTGTTGGACAATTCATTTCTACCATCCTTTTATATTACATTTTTCTTTTATCAAGCAATCATTGTTCCACATATTTACAAAAATATGCTATGTAACTCTTAGCTGCAAATAACAACAACAACAACAACAACAACAACAACAACAATAATAGAATTGGAAGGGACCTTGCAGATCTTTTAGTCCAACCCTCTGCTCAGGCAGGAAACTCTATACCATTTCAGACAAATGGTTGTCCAGTCTCTTCTTAAAACTTTCCAGTGTTGGAGCACTCACAACTTCTGGAATTGTTCCACTGATTAATTTTTCTAACTGTCAGGAAATTTTTCCTTAGTTTCAGGTTGCTTCTCTCTTTGATTAGTTTTCAGCCATTGCTTCTGGTCCTGCCTTCAGGTGCTTTGGAGAATAGCTTGACTCCCTCTTCTTTGTGGCAGCCCCTGAGATATTGGATCATTTCACCTCTTGTCTTTCTCTTCATTAAACTACACATACCCAATACCAGCAACCCTTCTTTATATGTTTTATCCTCCAGTCCCTAGTCATCTTTGTTGCTCTTCTCTGTTCTCTGTACTCTTTCTGTACTCTGTGACCAAAACTGGATGTAAAAAAGATGTTGAGACTCTAGAAAAAGTATAGAGAAGAGCAACAAAGATTATTAGGGGAAATTATCTATTCTGATAATTTTACATAATGGTTAGATATTGGTTATCTTGTAGAAAGAAATTTCTTGTAGAAAAGGCTTTATTGCATAGAATATCTAGTGGAATTTCTAGCTTGTACAGTATTTCATCCAGATCTTCTGGAAAAGGGGTTGTTCCTTGCATATATTTTTTATTACTGCAGGGTTTTTTTAATGTGCAGATCTATTTGCATATCTACGTTGTCATAGTGGTAGCTGTTTTAATATATTGTTTAAACCTATTTGAAGATTTGATTTTTTAAAAATTCCTTATTTTCTCTGGCATTCAAAAAAACCAAAACATTATTAGGCAAAGATTTCAGATTGTGTCAACGGCATTATTGAATTACCAGATTCCCTTTATTTTTTCCAAATATTCAGATATCTTACTTATCTAATGTCTTGAGGCAGTTTAAGGCATTTATGTTGGTTCTTCTTAATATTTTACACCTTTAGGGGTAAATTATATAATATCCCTATGGTCTGTTTTGTGGCTCAGAGAAAGGCTGAGATCCTGATTAACTCTCCCCTTTTTTACTCATTTTATTGAGATAGCAATGCTATTCATATCACTCCATTATTACTAATAGTCCATGTAAATTTGGTATTTTTT